TCAAAACCCATGTTAGTGCCATTTGTTTGATCCCAATTTCTAATTGTACACTCGTTTCATTCCATTGAACAATCACAAAAAAAAATGAACCCTAGAGAGTGTTATTTTAGCCCAATCAACATATGCCATCCATTTTGTTAAGGTGCTTAGATCTAGGCCTCACAAGGATTTCTCTTATCAAAATTTTTGGATAGCTTTGTTATCATCAGATGAACAACGTTGAAAAAGGAAAAAAATGGTTTTGAGTTCGTGAAAGCCTAGATCTTGAAATTCATAAAATGGAAAGTCCAGATTCAATGTTGCAGGAGACTCATTTTAACCGTATCTATGATGAAAATTGAATTTTATTTTTTTTTGAAAATTGACTATTAGGATGAAGAGAGGGTATATGCAATTTTTAGGTCATACAAATGCTACAAAAATAGTTTTCTATAAGTGTGGTTGCATTATATTACTATACAACCGTTGCATGAAATCATTCCCCATATATATATATATATATATATATATCTAATACTTAAGCTCAAATTTTGGACATCCATAATTCTCATCATAATGCACTTGTAAAAATTATTGAAATACAATTAATTTAAATAAAACTGACCAAAATACCCTACAAATTTAAAAATTTTACCAATATTTTTCTCATTTTATTTATTGCACAAATTTATTGTTTTTGGGTATTTTTTCACTTATGTGAGATGGTGATAGTAAAATATGAGCTCAATCTGATGTATAGAAGAGAAAACAAAATTAATATACAATATTTTTAAAAGTGGGACTCGAGTGTAAAATACAAAATATACAGGACTACTTCAAATTTTCATTATAAAATAGGATTTTTTTCATATATTTCCCAAAAGAATATGAGGCCTTACAGGTTCTGTCAGGAAATGAAAAACTTAAGAAAGATGATGCAGTAAGTACCCGTTCTTTGCACTGCAAGTTGTCCTTCAGTATGTGAGATAGCACACTCGCAGCCCTGCAACAGGTCTATATTGGAAAAGTGAAAGGCTAATCAGCAGATAGTAGTCTGTAAAATTGAAACAAGGAGAAATCAATGACAAAAGGCTAAATCATTTCTATTGTCCGGCTAATCTCTCTTGATACCCACACCAGCTTTTATTTTGCACGTATACGACTTCCTAAGTTCACAATTAAGAACATTTTCTCATTTTACTCTAATTTCTAGAGGCGCTCTTCTTTATCTTGCAATTGGTGCAGAATGCATCCCCAAGGATCATAAAAAAGACTCACCTTTACCTCTAGATTTTCATTTTGTTAAACTAGGATCTAACTTGACTTTTTCTGTCACCTTGTAATAAAAATGTCATCCGTTTTGAGTTTTTCTCATATTTTTCTCAATTACAACTTTTAACTTTTCTCACAGCTCGTAACGGGAGTTTGAATTTATAGAGATTATCTTAGGGCTTTCATATAATGTGCATAGAGATGGTTTGCTTCTCTCACTCATCAAATGCATTCAACCAGGCTCGATCTACATAGTTGGAACCACTTGCTTAGAATGCCTTTTTTGTTGGGAGTTTACCCAACCAAAGGCTTGCTGGAAGGCATTCACACCCAAAACTTAAGCAAGAAGCTAATATCTAGAGCTATAGGTAAGGCAGAGTATTCTGCTCACCTCGAGATCGTACTCATTATCCCTCAATACAAGTCCATGCAACAGCAAGCTGCCAAGAATAAGTAGAAACGTTCAGCAAGGAACTAAACAAGCACAAGAAGTACAGATTGATAAAGAAATCTTGCTCAAAATAAAATTGAAGAGAACAAATACTTTCTGAACAAATTACTCATGAAAAATCAACCATAGATAGCAGAAAGGATATAGTATAACTAAGTGGACTATCAAAAAGCCCAAGTCTATTGCGTCATCACCTTCCATTGAAATGATAAACAGCGGTAAAACCCAGCGGAATAGGACATAGCCCCATGATGGGTCCATTATTGACTCTCTCACCATCACTGTTTATCATTTTAATTAACAGTGATGACCCACTAGACTACGGTTTTTCCATAGTCCATTAGATTTAGTGAACTTCAGCAGTGAAATGGTGACGGTGTTTGGAGGTTTGACCTGCCAAATGGCAAGTGAATATCATCCGCAAGAGTAGCACGTGAACTTGATAGAGGTTGAGGAGTCATAGTGGATGCCAACATCATCTGGCCCTCGGGATTCCTCTGCTTCACATAATGCAAACTATTAGTGGATCAATGGACACGTTAGAGGGTGATTTATCTCGCAAGCTGTTTAAAGTTTTCAATGAATGCCACAAACTTATCATAAAACAAAGAATAAATTCAGAGGAAATGCTTAAGCTGTCGAGGAACTAACATAAGCTATTCACTACAGATCCATGATTTATCACTGAGTGAAATCAACAGAAAAAAAACCTTATCTCAGAATTCAGACAAAGGATTTCTACAAGGGTAAAAACCTTGGGCAAGAAATCAATAGTGATTCAGCTTGCAGGGGTCTAATCACCTGTCTGAACTCTTGTCTGGCTGCCACTATGTTATGGTAAAATACAACTCGATAGTCTTTGTAGTCCAGCCATCAGGTTGACACAGGTCAACTACCATTGAATCAAGTTCCAATGTGAATCTTGTTTGACCATTTTTTTATTTGCAGCATTTCTCATGGAACTGAACCAGTTTCTTTTTGGATAAATAATTCTCTGTTTTGATATTGTAGACTCGTACATGTGGGCGGTATACAAGACCACTGCATATGGTAGTAGTTAGAAAATTGGGTACAAAAACGTGTAACAAAATGTGTGACAGGAGTCTATAAAAGCGATTGAAGAATCACTAATCTGACTCAAAATTGCCCAAGTTGGGTCGGAATAGTTAGCGACAGGATTCCCATTCACGGAGCCCCAAAATCGCTATGATTCACTAGATTTTAGTCCCTTTTTTGATATCTTTGTTAAATACAGCCTGATCCAGCTTAAGAATCACCGACAGGTCGAATTGGAACCAGACCCTGGGGAATCAGGCCTGATTCTAATTTTTGAAAGACTGATCTATCCAAAAATGTGGTCCATGGTCTATGGGAGTTTGCCTCATGCCAAATGTATTGCAAGGCTATCAAGAGACCATGGCAGAGATGGAAGAGCTGCTCAAAAATGCTGCAGAACCTCCGAGGGCATGGGAAGGCTCTTATTGGCCCACAAAATGATATTGAGGAAGTCAGTTTCAATAAGGATGGAGGAATCCCAGTCTCCATTCTAAAGTGTAATGGCACACAGCAGGGACAAGGATTCATCGAGAGAGGCATCAGCAGAGCCTACTGGATCCCAGAAGGAGAGAAGGGTTTGTCCTGTGTAGGTTCCAAACAAACCGCCACAACCAGCAGGGACTGGATTTACCAAAGAGCTGCAGTCAAAATTTAGTTTGATGACATCAGGGTTGAGGGGCTGCGCTACAAGAGGACCGGGGTAGCAAGGGGGATGACCGAATGCTATGGTTCCACTGGTATAAAAAGTCCAAGGAGCAGAAATTGTGGAGGTGTTTGTTTGAGGAAGCCCAAAAACCAATTATGGACGTGATCTGCTGGATAATGGTGGAGAGTTGGATTAGAGCTCCCAAAATCTCTTTGGGGTTTTGCTCTAACCAGATGGACCAATGGAAAGCCTGTATTATTAAGTACACAAACGGAGACCGGTGGCTGGCAGGGGGCAAGGAGATGGTGCTGTTTGTAAAGGTCTTCAACTGAGAAGGGGGGGACCAGGAAAGGCCGGGAACAATGAACGAAGTGTGTCTAGAGTCTAGACCATGGAAGACCGAAAACAGTGAGTCAAGAATAAGGTTTACTTCATCGTCTTTGCTAGACATGACACATCTCCTTGCAAGTTGGACGTCAAAATCCAAGGGGGGAAGGTCTCTTTGTTCCTCCAATAACTCTTTATCTTTTGTATTTCTGATAAGAGCTACTACTTTATGACTCGGAGGAAACCAAACAAGTCACTGTTTGTTTAGGGCCTGTTTCGATATCACAGATGCCTCTCTGGGAAACATGATTCCATGGAGATTGTTGATCTCCTCAGGTTGGATTGCAAAATCCGCATGAATATGCATCTCCCTTAGAAAGGCATATCCACGTTTTAGGGGCCAAAATAAGGAGACCACTTCTCCACCAAAATACGTGGACTTGTGATCTCCATGAAACAATATCCATATGGACCTGAAATTAAAAGATTCAAACCCCCCTATTAGGCATCATGTCTGCCCAAAAGAGGGCTTGAAGCCCAAGTTTTTTCGCCATTCATTCCCTCTTGCTCGATACCGTTCAACAGGAACCTTCTTTCTCGCTACTTCTCACCTCCCTCTCTCTCTAACATAGCTTGCAGACACCCAATCTCTCTCTATCTCTCTCTCTCTCTATAACAGGCCCTTCATTTCTCCTCTCTCTTTCTCTCGCTAAGCTCACCAAAATCTCTCTCTCTAAAACCCAGAAAAAGTTTCTACGCTTGCTCCTCCCTCCTCTCTCTCTAGCAAAGAAGAGAACATTCAGCTCCGAGAAGCTAGCCTATCAAGTACCCCCACATGCTATTTTTCCATTTTCTTTAGGGTTCATTATTTTGTGTGTTTTGTTGAATTATATCTAAGGTTGTAATAGAATTTTACAGGCCCATTTTTACCTTTTTTTTGGGTTATTTCTGTAATCCTTTGATTAATGCTGTCTTTGATGATTCTTCATTCCGATGGTACATATACATTCTCTCTCTCTCTGTTTATATATTTCACCCATTTTTCTCTCCCATTTTATCGCATTTTGGACCAAGATCCTCCTGATATGCCACCAAGGCATTAAGGCTATCTCTCTCCCATCTAATGCCCAAGTAACCATCTTTCTGTCTCTTTTTAACATGAAATTAGAAACCGACTAAGACATGGTTTCTCTTGTTTGTTCTCATATTCAATGGCCATGCACCCACTTTTCTCTCTCCTCAAAGTCATATAGTACCCAAGTATCAGATACCCACCTTTGTTCGACAAATACTGAACAAATCAAGCTTTGTTATCCTTTTCGCAAAACAACAGTATTGCAATTAATCCCACAAAATGCACACTTTTCATAGTTCTGAATTCATATTCATATCCACAAGATGCCTAAATTTCATTTAATCCAAATTGTATGATCATGGGTGATTCTGAGAGTAAATATGCAACTATGAAAATGTGTTTGGAAATTTGAGTGTTAAAAATTCAGGCTAATAAGAGAAGGAAAACATTTTGAACCAAGAGTTTAAGAACAAATTCCTGATCAAGTAATTTACAGTGCCATCTAAATGATAAACCAGGAAAACAGCTATCCCCACCAGCATCAGCTCATCTATAAGAAAAGTCTTTCATGGTTTCTAGTTCCTCATGTCACCCGCCTTTGCTGCTGATTCTAGTATTTATTACTAATTTCAAATCCCCATACAAAAATTCACCTTAAAGCCTTTTTCAAGCCTGATCTAACTCTATACTTTTCTATTTAAATAGTGAAGTTCCATACTAGTCAATTACGAGCTACAGGCAGCTATAAGGAAATAAATGACAGAACTGCAGTTCCTCACACAAAAGAGTCACCCTATGTTATATTCCAACCTAAAAAGCAGATCAGAAGTCGTTTCGTCCAACTTTCATTTCACAGAAGACTTCTTGTAGGTGAATGACCAAAAAGCCAGGAAGCCATGGCTCAAGGAGCTGTAACCTAGACAATTATTACCATGAGCCAAAAAAGTAATCATAAAGGGTGATAGATGCTGTATATGATGCTAGTGTGGGATTTTTCTTTTCTTTGATAATTAGATCATAGCGTAGGATCATAAACTGGCATTGTTATACAAGGATGGATATAAATGAACTTAAATCATGTGTGGCACTGGCACTAAAGCTGTAGCGAAAAAGATAAACAACTCGTTTATGTCCTGAGCTTCCACAAAATGCACAAAAATGAAATGTTGGATAAAATATAAGAAACATACTCTTTAGTACAAGTAAAATGACAGCAAATGTACAAGCCAAAAAAATTCTTTAACACGTATATTGGGTAAATGGAAATCCACAAAATCGTTCTACAAGGGTAGCAGCCAGGAAACATGCAGCATGCTGTAGAGTAATAGTAGCAGCTTCTCAATTACTTCCCTAACAAGTTATTTCTGTTTTGCAAAGCATAAACAAAAACGGAACAAGATAGTGCAACAGCAACTTAGTAGCAAGTATACCTCGCAGAAGCATTTAATAACATATTCAGCAGCAATTCTTTCTTGCAAGCTAGGGGTCTGTAATAAGATACTAAGAATTGCGTTTAGTGCAGGTTTAACATGGTGCTCTTCTCCAAGCATTTTACTGGTAAGAAAGTCAATATTTTGGGGGTGTCTAGCAACCAAATCACCAACACAGCGGAGTGCCTGAAAGTAGGGATGCGGTTACAAAAATATGCCAAAATATGATTATAGAGGACAATATCTCACTACCAAGACATTAAGAAAAGATTGATGATTGATGATAGAAAGAATAAGATATTGATCCATAAAATTTTAATTAGATATCGCAATATCAGCTTACAAAAGGAAACCCAAAAAGGACAACACAGAAATTTTAACACAAACTAACATCATCAGTTTAGAAAAGCGAGAAACCAATCCATCAATTGTGCATGTTATATTGGAAGAAAAATGAAAAACAAGCTACACTATACACATCAGGTAGACAAATCATTAAAAACGGATGATCTAAAGTGCCAACATAGATATATGTCTACCCAACAGCTCTGTAAACACTATATAAAGACAACATTTTCAATAGAAATAGGCCATACTTGGATGTAAAAATTTCATACCATATCTTCATGTAAAAACCTCTTTGCAACCACAGTGCAATAAGGAGTATCAAGTAGAACACGAGACGTAAAAACCAAAACATATCAAAATAAAACTAATCTACTCCTAAAAATAAAAAATAAAAGAAGTAAGCTAATCCAAGAAAATCCAAAAATTAAGGGAAGCTAATCAAAACACACAAAAAATATAAACTATTTAACACTTTACCTATTTATCAAAATACATCTAAAATATCAACTATCACAACTCATGATAGGGCTTTTCAGTTAAATCAAAAGACATGGGTGAGAAGTTAAATAATCCCTCTCTTGGTTGCTTTTTGATAAATTTCCCAAAGTTTAATGACAACATACAGAAAAGTAAATGGAATCCTTAGAGATCAAGTCCTGACTTCGAGTAATGTGCATCTTAAAGAAGCCATTATGTGGTAAAACAGTTTCTGAATCAAGAAATGAAAAGAGCCACTAAACAGTAACTGCAAAATCATATTTGTATGACTTGGATGTGTGTAAATTGTGATTGATGTTAACCACATAAAAGGCTAACTCACTTATTTCACATCTATATGCTGTATAATAAGGGAAAGTATTCGACGAGATCATTTACCTTCCATACAAAAAAGTAAAAAACACCCCAAGCTATCAGATGTGAAATTGGACAGCTTGGGAGGTATCAAAATTGTCCTTGGACTATGTCCGGAGGTAAATGGTCTCACTCTATAGGTTACCATATAATAAAGTACACCTATATATACAATATATCATATACTAACAACTGGAAAGCCACCCATCAGAGAACCACATCGCTCTAGGCAAAGTCACCCTTTATCACAAGGGTGGTCATCACGAGTGATAAAGGACAATATATATTGTATAAATCTAATGGGTGGTCAATAAGGAGGGCCATGGGGACTGCATCTTAGCAGGTATTTGGATCATAGTTGCAAAAGGGGGAACAGATCCAGGGAGATATTCAGGGAACTCATGCAAGTCACAGGATACTCAACGGCACATGATTTGCAAAAGGGGAACAATTAGAGAACTAGGATAACATTTACACCAGATCACCAAATGATAATATAGACAGTAATCATACTTTTGGTCCTTTTTTAACTATAATGTTTTCAATATCATGGTATGCATATGACAAACGTGTGGGAAACATTGCTGAGTAACTATGAAAGACTTGCATACACATGACAAACTTGTTGGAAATGTCTATAAATTGGTGACTTTCAATTTTATAAGAAGCAACTTTTTCTAAATAAATCAGACACTCAAAAGACCAGCTAAACAAAAATCAAATGATCTGTGCATGGAATGGAGTACTCTCTCCATGATATGTCTTTCCATTTGTAGTCCTTTCTACTTCTAATGGACTTCTAGCATAAGAAATATGTGAAAAAAGGGAAGATCGATTAATCATTTGCAGAATACAGTAGGACAACATGAAACTACCGATTTTTTTGGTCATGAAAAACACGGAAGAATTTGATTTGCAATTGGAAATATATCAAACCTAAAAGCAGATTGTACACAAACCAACTGGTAGGATAAAGAGGTCAATCTCACCGAGCAGCGAACCATCACTGGGGTCCACCTTCCCTCAACTCCCAACATCAAAAGACTATCCAATATTTTCTTCTGTTTATGTTCAGAAATAAACAAACCCACATCAGTACCATGACATTGCTAAGTCAATTCACAAGCATCATAATAGCAAAATTACCTGGGCCAGGACTGTCTGGTTAGATCTTCTGTTGGCATCTTTTCCAGGATCATTCTCTGGAGATCCCACCAAGAGCAGTTCTATGGTGCCTAATGCACTGAGCAGATTCACTGTCTAGTGACATATTGGATGTTTCAGATTTAAACCAGGACACAACGGAGTAAGCTAATGCATGTCTTCAACAGCATTTTCACTATTCATATATTAAATGGTATTAAATCTAAGTAAAATACTCAGAAACAAGGATAACTGATTCCATACCTTCTGCTGAGTGAAGTTATATGCATTTCCTTTACGCAACTTCAAAATTGAAATCAAAGACTCGAATCCCACAGTTTCTCTCAGTAATATCTGGACTGTCCAGCTAAATCAATTATTATCAAAGATGCAAAAAATTTAACACAACAAAAGGCAAGCCATATACCTGGTTTGGAACACTATTGCGGATAAGGTTATTCAGCAACTCAAGACAATCCTGTGAGTAACATGCATATTACGAATGTGATCATGGTTTAAGAATTGCTGGAAAAAAATTAACATGCTTTACAAGTTTATTAAAAATGATAATAGGATGCTGATACCAGATAAAAAGGTAATAACTGCATTACAAACATAAAAGAAATAAAAGTTCATCCAAGCAGATGTGGTTTCTAAACAAAAAGTTTTGAAACATAATATGCCAATGCATGTGAGTATTTAACTTTTGTAGTGTTATTGTCATAGGAGTACTTAACTGATAGAAAGATATAAATTCACAAAACCAAACAGCACTATAGTTAAAATACCAATCATAGAAACTGCAAGAAGAACACATACCAAGGCACCAGATTGCAGGCATTTCGAAGAAATAAATAAGTTCATAAGCATACTTCCCGATTGAATATTCACTTAAAATAATATACCAGTCGAAGCAAATTACAGGAGAGAATACAGGTGTTGGTATTTTAAAAACATGAAGGAGTATAGGGACCACAGTATCCATAAATGTAGAGTAAAAAAACTGCAGGATTTCAAGAAAAAAATTGAAAGAGAGTTATACTCATTTTCCATAAAAGAATATAGTCTATGCGATCTCATGCATCCCCGAACTGGTGAAGAAAATGACAAATCATAAGTAAGAATGTCAGTTAAGAGATCATAAAGTTGAGGAACAGGATTGTCCATGACACAAGCTTCAGGATCAATATTCATTTGGATGCTAAGGCAACTCAAACAGTGGAAGAGTTGCTTTGACAAGAGAAGCCATTTAAAGCAACCTGGTCTGATGTAGCCCCATGAGAATCAGAGTTCCACATGTTTTGGATGGTGACAGGACATCCATAATGCTTTCTTTCAATTTAGACAGGGTTGGAGTCCTCAATGACTGAAAAGATATAGTTTCTCGCATGCCATACTAATAATGAGATCAAAGCTGCCTTCACTCTAAATATCCTATTGGAGAAAACTCAACTCCAGCTGCCTTGCACCTAACTCTTGACTTTGCCTCCAACTAATCTCCTCAGTTTTTGTGGTATTATATCTTGCTGCAGTCTCATATTCTACCATGTGGCACTTCCATTCAACTCATTTCTCTGCAACCATCTAGCTAACTCATTGGTCTCCTCTAGGAGCCTACCCTTTTCAGTATCATCATCCGAAAAAATCAACAATTCAATACTCAAATCTACCCTCCAACAAAATCAAGTATCCAAGGGAACATATAGCATACCTTCCCATTCAAATTATAAATGGCTATAATTAAAAAAAAACAGAATTGATTTTAGACAGCCTGGACTCATTCTGATGCTGGACAAGGAAAAAGCCTATGACTAAGGAGCCTGGCCTATAGGGGATCAAGTCCTCCTCAAAATGGAAACCGGGGAATTCAGACAGATTCGAAGAAAATGGATCTATGATTGCGTTTCTTCCACCTCTTTTACCATTCTTGTAAATAGTCCCCCATTGTTCTCCCCTTCCAGCGGTTTATGTCAAGGGGACCCTCCATCCCTTTCTTTTTGCCATTGCAATTGAAAACTTTGGTAGGTCGCTTCCAGGTTAAATCAAAGAGGAACCCTCTTAGGTTTCAAACCTTCAAGGTTTGGACATGAAATATATCCTCTTCAATACATAGATGATACTCTCATATTCTGCAATGCCGCAACTAAACAAGTTGACGACCTTGGTTATTCCTCGGATATTTTGAACTGGCTTCTTGCATGAAGACCAATACGACCAAATCAAAACCGAGGGGAATCGAATTATCTGATGATCAACTTTCCTTCCTAGCAAGAAGACTGCACTGCGGCACAGACCAACTTCCATCCAAGTACCTCGACCTACCACTCTGCTTAGGTAATCCCAGAAAGGCACTTTGGGACCCCATGATAGAAAAATTCTAGAAGAGGTTAACTTCTTGGAAAAGGAATTACCTACGACCAAATCAAAACCAAGGGGAATCGAATTATCTGATGATCACATTTCCTTCCTAGCAAGCAGACTGCGCTGCAGCACAGACCAACTTCCATCCAAGTACCTCGACCTACCACTCTGCTTAGGTACTTCCAGAAAGGCACTTACCCCATGGCAGAAAATTTCTAGAAGAGGTTGACTTCTTGGAAAAGGAATTACCTCTTTCTTATGGACAGAATAACTCTCATCAAAGCTACCCTCTCAAACATCCCAATTTATTCCATGTCACTTTTCAATATGCATGCTAGCACCATCATCTCTCTTGAAAGGCTTATGGAAATTTTTCTTCAGTTTGGGGACACTTCCAAAAAGAAAATTCACTTGATAGCTTGGGATCAAATTTGAACACCTAAAAAGGTTAGAGGCCTACGCATTTGCAGCCTTAAGCAAGATGAATGGGACTCTCATTGGCAAATGGTGGTGGCGCTTCACCACCAAAAAAAACTTGAATGGCACTAGGTGCTCCTTCAAAAGTAACCCAAGGCATATAGCTTCTTCTGCCTTTTTCAAAAACTTTTATCGATGTCGAAACATTTTCATGCCTTTTATAAGGTTCAAAGTTAACTCAGGGGAAAAATGTTCTTTTCTGGACTACCACTTGTATTGGAAACCAACTCCTCAGAGAAACCTGGTCTAATCTCTTTGCAATAGCTCTTAAACCCCAATGTTCCTACAGTTGCTCAATATTTCGAACACAATGGCCAAAATTAATCTTGGACACCCACGTTTAGAAGATCATTCCATGATCATCAATGGATCTGGAAGTGACAGGGCAGCATGGGCCAAATTCCATACAGGGGTTTTCACAGTTGCTTCCTTCTATAAAGCACTAGACCCTTCTTCCTGCAACTCTCCATCCATTCAAAATATAGCTTGGCTCACCCAAACCTCCTCAAAATCCAAGCTTTCACTTGGCATGTAATCTCCAACAGAAACTCAACCTTAGACCAACTTAACAGGAGAGGGTTCAACCTTGCAAACAAATGTTTACTTTGCGGAGAAGAAGATACCCATTCTCATCTTTTCTTATTGCATATTCACTTCCAAAGCCTGGCCCAAACATCTCAAACATTACAATTGGCAATGGGACATTCCCAGGTCCATTGAACATTTTTTTCCGTCCTACATCCCCCCCCCTTCCCGTTCCCCCTTTCACGTCAGCAGGGTTATTCCTACTGAGAGCCTCCATCCTAGCTAGTCTTGGAACAATTTGGGTGGAGTGAAACTCCAGTATTTTTTGAGAAGTCAAGAAAAGTGCGAGAACAACTACAGAAAGAGCCACAGACCTCACCATTTTCTAGGCCAGCTGCTGCAAACATATCAAGACCTTCTCCAAAGTAGAATTTGAATCGAATTGGGGTAACACCGTCCAATCCATACCAAACGGTCCAAAATCTTAGGGGGTCATTAAGGTCAACATAATTGTCCCATGGGGAACCCGGGTCCATGGGAAAGACTCACACAGAACAATCTTAGACTGCTTTTCCATCTCGGTTTTAGAGACTCCAATTGGGCTGAAGCAAGTGCCCTCCTCAACGTCCTTAAGAGATTAAATCCGAGTTGGGGCAATCACCTCCTTGTCGAAGGGGACTCCAAAAATGTTATTTCTTGGTCATTTGGTAGTTTGCAAAGCCCTTGGAGGCCAACCGTATTTTTACCACATTGCTCACTTGTGCGGGCCACTTTGAGTTGACTTCCTTCATGCTTGGCAGGAAGCAAACTGATAGCTGATATGCTGGCTAAGAACAGTGCCACACTCAAACACAATTCAGTACAGCCATAATTTCTTGGGAGTTTATAATTGTAATCTTTTGAGTATAGCCCGGTTTCGTGGTATGCCTATCTACAATGTGCCTCTTTCCTTTGTTCTTTTGGTTTCTGCTTCTTCATGTCTCCTTTATTTGTCTTTTCCTGTATGCTTCATTGCTGTTCTCTCACTCTCTCTATCCTAGGACTTCTTCTCTACTCCCTTGTCCCATCTTTTGACATTAGATCTCACTCCCCATATCCTCTCTCCCGTCTCTTTCCCCTGCCCCACTTTCCTATATTTCCAAACCACAGTTACCAGGAACGGGAGTGATAAGGGCTCCAAGATCGGGATCTCGAGCGGGAGCAGGAGAGCAGAGCGAGGTAGGCTCGAAGATCCGTGGTCGGGGGGATGAGGTATGTAAATGGCCAGGTAAAGGGATCGAGATCCCCGACTTTTAGGGAGCATGTTCCAAATATTCATAGGTGTGAATTCTTTACTAAATGAGGTAGCATTCCTCCGTGATAAGGATGAAGAGTCCCGAAGTTCACTTATCAACTCTACTGTAATTTGGGAACGAATTCCATTGAACAATATAATTAACTTTTTCAAAATCCACAAACTCAAGAACCAATGTGAATAAGAATCATGTCATTGAAATTCTCATAGAAATTTTGTTGTCATTGGAATATGATTTAACACATGAGTAGTGTTAATAAAAATCCTATATGGTGATGTAACATCTAAGTCCTCAGTTCCATGTTAACACGTGGGAATGAGGGTGATAAAAACAGTTTCTTAAGCAAGGATCACTATAAAAGATTAATCATGTGGGTCCATTACAAAAATTGCAAACCCCCTACCTACATTGGTCTGCCTGCAACGCACACATCGCCATTTTTGGCACCAATCAGTTGGATTGGACGACTCCCACTCGAATATCGATTGATGATTACATATAAGACTGTTGTGATGGATTGTTTCCAAACAAGAAATACTGTGATAGTTAAGCTCTCTTTTGCAAAGCATGACAATGAAAGACATTGCAATATACTATTCCCAATAGCTTTCCTTTGTTGAAGATTGCTAGGGGCTCAAAAACACATACACGAGATAGACCTCACACTTCCATGCATACATGTTATTCCATCACCCATAAGGCAACCCCATGATGGCTTGATTTGGTTGACCAACACCCAAGCGAAGCAATAGAAGTCCTCCGGGAGGAGGAAAGGAGCCAATGAACTAGCCCCAAGGAAGTTAAGCATATTAACATTCCTTAATGGAACCATAATGTGACTAACTTTTATGTCTCCTTCCATCTTCTTCCTTCTCTCTCCTTGCCCTCTCTTTCGTTGCCTTTCTTTGAAACTAAATATGATTCATGATTCAATACGTGTGTAAAGTCGTGAATTGTAAAATATGTAGGAAATCATGGCATTCATAAACTTTGTAGGTCATAAAAATTCGATATCCACACTCCCAAATTAGAGGATACTCGATTTCAAGTTTGTGGAATCGTGGTTTCGCTTACTCATAAGGATGATTTTTGGCATAGGGATCTGGATCCAATGAACTTGGATTGACCTCACCAATTTCTTAGATTGAGATGCCAAATATCAAAGAATTGCTCGGAATCAAGATCCCATGTCTTCAAGAGCGGGATCTAGCTTCTGAAGCGGAAGCGACCCCCTCCTTAGAAGATCCTACTAACTATGCTCAAAAGAAACATTTCTAATCTTTATTTGTTGTATCTATTCTTGCTACTTGATTTTTTTGATTACAGTTCTAGGAGCAACCTGTCTGTGTATTGCCTATACCCACATCATGGGTTTTTGTAAGCACATATTATATGCAATATAGCCGACCTCAAACCATTGAAATAAGGCTTGGATGATGATGATGATATTATACGCAATATAATGTCAGCAATTCTCCAAAGAACCAAAAACAAATGCACATAATAACCTCCACCACTTTGCTTGATCCCTAAAAACAAGAAAGCCTACCACTTCAACACAATATAATGTCACCAATTCTCCAAATAACAAAAAACAAGAGCACAAAATAACCTCCACCACTTTACCTAATCCCTAAAACCAAGAAAGCCTACCACTTCAACACAATACAAAGAGAATTGGCTCTCTAAATCAAAGAGAGTTTTTTTTTGAAGTTGTTAACTTTTGTATTAATAAAAGAGGTATTACAGTAGTCCTTCGAGATAGCCCACAGGCCGCGCTTCTCAGCAAAAATAGGCTTACCCAAAAAGGCCCTATACAAAAAATGAGTGGGGCTTATAAAATGTGCCCATTACAACAGATATACAAAGAGATGCAATGGACCCAAAAAGTCGAGGCTACAAAAACGAGTAGGGTTGAAACACCAAGATGAGCAAACCAGTCCTTGAGCTCTCCTTCCTTAGCCAGTTATTCCGCCAGGGTGTTTGATTCCCAAATATGCCTCCATAAGACGACTGTATCCCTGCAAATGTGCATAATCTCACCATAAATCGAAGTAAGGTACCAGGGGAGGGCTGCCTTTCCAGAAGCCCAAGTGATTATATTTTGGGCATCTCCTTCCACAATCAGAGGTTGTCCCCATGCGAGGTCAAATAATTTGAATCCCGAAAGAAAGGCCAAGGACTCTGCTAGCTGGGAATCGGCATGGCCAATGAACTTGGAGAAAGAGGCCAGAATATTGCCACGGTCTTCTTTGAAGACACCACCTACGCCAACTGGGCCGGGGTTTCCCAAAGAGCACCTGTCAAAATTCATTTTGTGAGGCGTGCCGGAGGGGGAGACGAGGTGGTTGGAGCAAGAGGACATTTTCCCAGTTTTGTAGAAAACTCGAAGCCGAAATGCCTTTGAAAGCCTTGTGATTAGAAGCCTAGAAATTATCTGAGTTGTAGTCTTGTCGAAGAGAGCCGAGGCTTCACACCTGGATCCTCGAAAAATCCTCGTATTTCTTTTGACCCAAATTACCCAAATGGTTGCCGCCATGGAGGCTTTTCAAAGGAGCCTACCTGCCTTTGGTCAATAAGAGTCCAAGGAGAGACTAAGGAGTGCTGGGAGGGAAACCAGTGTTACCCAAGAGAGGTCGCAGAGGCAAAGGAGTCGGCTCCATAGATTGAAGGCAAGGTTGCAATGAATAAAGAGGTGAGGTTGCTCTCGGCTTCACAAAGGCACATGACGCAGCGGTTAGGAATGGGAATACCCTTGCGTTGTAAATGATCGACAGTAAGCACCTTTTCGAAGCACGCTATTCAGTTGAAAGCTTGTACTTTGGGTGGGGCTATAGTGAACCACACCTTGGATACCACCGAGGTCGGAGACTGGGGAGAGGTTGGAGGTTGCAGCAGTTTTTTGTAGAAGGAGGCAACTGAGAAAGAACCAAAGGGTGAGGGGGTCCACAGCATACTATCCGGAACCAGAGAAAGCAAGGAAAGTTGAGTGTAACAAGGAGGAAAGAGAGAGAAAATCCAAGGTTTCTCTATCGAAGAGGGCCCTTCTGAAAGATGGGTTCCAGACCCTACGACTACCTAAGATGGGCATCTCGTCCTCAATGGAAGAGGATGTATTGGTGGCCAAGGAAAAGAGAGAGGGGAGCCGATCCCTAAGTGGAGTGTGGTCCAACTATAGGTCTAACCAGAAGCGAGTTTTGTCGCCTCTCCTAGGATGGAAGCAAATGTTTTGTTGAAAGAGGGAGAAAGAAGACATCATTGACTTCCAAGCCCCAGACGTCCTAGAGGGACGAGTCCCTGCCGGTAGCCAGTGAGAAGGGTGGATTCAGTATTTGCTGCGGGTACCTTGAGTCCAAAGCAAGTTATTGTGATTTGTAGCTTGCCACCACCATTTTTCGAGTAGGAGTGTTTTGTTTCCTCAAAATTCAAATCCCAAGCCCCCCCAGATGCTTCGGTTGGCAGACTTTATCCCAAGAAATGACATGGATCTAAATCAAAGAGAGTTAGTTATTAAAAAAAATCCGGATAGCCTTTTTATTTTATCACATAAAATCAAGACATACCCACCATGAGTATTGGACATGCCTGCTCTAAAAATGACTTTCCAGTAGGGAGATAAGGATGCGATCCAATCTCATCATAATCAGAGCTCCTAGATCATTAGTTCAAGTAAGACACCCACCACCATTAAGAAGATTCAATCCCTCATATTAAACAAAATTTGAATCTAGACATGACTAACAGTAATCTGATGTCATCTTCCCCAAACCACCCCAAAAAATTTTCAAAAAAATGAACCTGATAAACGTGAAGTCAATTCTGAAGCATAACGGCGACTTTACACTTTGCCCTATGCATAATTAATACAAATAGCAAAAAAGGTTCTCTTCCAAATCTTCTTTCATCGCTGACAGTCAAATATGGAAACTAAAAAGGAAATTCAATAAAATAAAAAAAGAATCCAATTTAAATTCTTCTTTTGTTCCAGAGCCTATGGGCGTATATCACAAACGCTGAAGTCAAAGATGCTTAATTACAACATCGATGGTGCTCCTAGGGTTCTACTAAGCATCAGGCACGCATTAGTTAAGTAAGAGGGGCACAAGAAAAATATGAAATCGGAAGGCTTCTTGCACTTGGATTAGAAGGGAGTGTACATATGTTATGATGAGGTATATACAAAATATCTCGAATGTAAAATTGAGGTCATGAAAATGAATAGCTTGCCAGTATGAGCAATTGCAATGGCCAAAGTTGTCAACCACTGGTGCGAGCAAATACGAAGTATTCGCTCAACCTATTTTTTCCCTGTGATTTATTTAGAATACATGGAGTTCTTATATATCAGGGGTTTCCGAGGTTTCAGGGAGGAAGGGAAGGGGGATGGGTTGGGAATCTAAACATTTGACAGTCAAAGTAAGAGAACTAGGAGCCTAAATATCCAGAGGGATTATTAAGGATAAAATTGAAATGAACTGATCAGTTAGGAGATTCAATGTGAAATGAAATGGGGGAGATTCCAAAAAACATAGCCTTTCTCTTTTATCTCTTAGTTGTATTACAAATTAACAGTACCATATTCATTCGGAAGAAATATCATTAGTGTACCTCAATGAAAAAATGGAAGCACTCTCTTCCTTATGAAGCCTAATACTTCTGAGAGATTTTAACATTACAAACAAAAAGGAAGAAATACTGCAAGCTGATAAAAGGAGATTACATGAATGATAATGGTCCCAGTTTAAAGGTGATTTCCAAGATAATTAGTTGAAAAAGTCAGCATTGCTTAACTTAAGCAAAATTCTAGAGATGTCCATGGTTAGATTTTGTGTCAAAGTGATCATGTGCGAACATCCTTGCCATGGTACAATCGTCTTGTTATTGTAGGGTAGTCATGCTTGATAAAAATGATCAACTTGTTCATGCAATTTCACAATTGTTGCATGAAATAAGTACCCCATCATTTCATTCACTTTAACTAGATCAATAAAATAACGAGTAATTTCATAGAATGCTAACGAAAATGAAGCCTTCTATGTCACAACTTCTTAACCTGCTAAGTATTTCCTATTTTCTGTTTTCTATTATTCTCCGATACATTTGTAGTTCTTTAGACATTGTCATGTAGTTCTAGCAAGACCAAGAAACTTTTGACAAAAAAAATACTGCACAACAATGAAACAAACTATAAACTTTCACAAAATTAGTAACAGTTACAGTGCTCATAGGCGATTCATTAAGCAATATGAGAGAAAATTGTAATTTAAAATTCACTGGTGGCTGGCCAGTACACTTTACTGCTTAAGAAACCACCTGCACAACAACACCACCTTCAGAGCCTCCCTCCTCTTTAATTATGCTAAAGATCTTCTCAAATGCACCCTCAAAAACTACAATTTTCTGAATTTCCTGAAAAATATATTGTGGCAGCAAGGTATTAGAACATATCACTCCACAGAAACACTGAAAATGTGGCCAACAAGAAGAATAGCAAAATCACCTCAGCTTCACGAGTCAGATATGTGAGTAGTAGAAGAGCTTCATTCCGAAGTACCTGAAAACAACATAATAAACTTCGCTATAATTAATCAAATTAAGGAGTCATAAATATTCTTATTAACAGCTTAACCAGATCAGATCACAATCGACATTTCACAGGAAGCTCTTTCACCTTTTTTATATAATCATGTACTACAAAATTCATAAAAATTTCCAAAACCGCAAAACGCTATCAATTTAAAAAATAAAACCTAAATCATTTCATCGTCCTTAAGGTAGACTGAGGTAGGCATGCAAATAGGAATGGCCAACGTGAAAATGATCTCAAAAGTTTCAAATTCAATAACATGAATGGTGATTGTCTTTCGCCATTTTTGGACTTTTAAGGTCTAGTGATTATGGGTTGTAGGGAGGTTATAAACTTGCCTCTCAGATGGGACCACAATCTCCTAAAGTGTTGAACAAAATACGCAAGCCAATAGCTTCAATGGTGCTGTACCTTATTAGGGGAAACTTGAGCAAAAAAACTTAACAAAAGATAAATGAAAGTTAACTTGGGATAAATGTGATCATGGATGGATGTAGAATCAGAAGAGTGCAAAGGAGCATTGAACCTACCAAAGGTGCATCCCAGGTTAACATCAACACCCAAATAGGCTTTCCTCAAATTTTTTGTCCAAACTGAGCAAGGGCTATAGAGATTCTGGAAGTACGACAGGAAATTTAGGAATCCACTCATTGGCTTTATAGTTGCAATCTGAATCTTGTCCTTATTTATACTATTAAAGGTAACACATCAATGCCAATTAATACTACAATTCACATGAAAGAAAACTACATCAAGATTTGCCAGACAGCGCACCTCTAACTTTTTTTTATAACAATTTTTCTAGACAGACAAGGATATATTTCCACCATTTGGGTACGTGGAGTTATAACCACGGCACTATTTTTCTGTTGCACACATTAAAGAGTAATATGTGTCCCATATTGGCACACCTATCCATAGGGGAGTTAATGTTGCACGCCTGTCCCCAACATGGCTGACAAAACACCCCTATCAGTACAAGAGAAAGAAAAAGAGCATCTTGTTTTCTGTATTCCCAAAAAAAGAGGAACTTCTTGGATACAATTACAACCATTTGAGACCTACAGTTTTGGCGTTAAGGCAATAATAGAGGGTATTCCGTTGACGCTACTAAGATGTCGAAACTCCAAAACGGCTAATTGTCTATTACAGCAATGAATAACAGCATAATATTATATCAAACTAAATAATAAACCACATGACATACTAAGGAAGAAATCCCACTACCTCCCGGTCCATAAGCATGTCCATAAGCCGGGTGATTCCACGAGGAGTTGCCAAAATTGCTTCCTGCAACCTGTGGAAAGATAATGAGGAAGGTGTAAACTCAAGTAGACTAGAAATTTACTTAAGAAGTTTCCTCAAAATCCATTATCAAAAAGAAGGGGCAGCAGAACATCATACACCTCACAAACAAAATACCTGTTTGGAGAATTTGTGAGAAGAGCTGTCAAAGTTTGCAATGTGTAGTACCGAATATAGAAGTCATCTTCTGACTAACCAATTATGCCAACCAGTTAAATAACATAATCTTGGTTGAACAATATGGATAAGCTACTTAAAGTCAAACCATGCAAAGATTCAAAAAGTTCATACCAGCAAACTTAAAAGAAGAGAAATGCTTTCTGATTCTCTAGAGAGCAGATCAGAGTTCATTAATGCTGGTTGAACTTCATTCCTTAGTCCATGTGTATAACCCAGAGGAGTCAAAGAGCTTACAAGAGTTTCCAGTGCACCTCGAGCCTGTGGAGCATCGAAAGCACAAAGAACATAATGAACAACATTTTTAAGTAACACCAGAAGAGAGAAAAGCACTTGAATACATCCCTTCTCCAACCTAGCCTAACCCAAATTTCCACAGGAAATCAAAATCAAATTCAAACAGAAGCCAAAAGAACTCTATATATCATGGATTTTTTGTTTTCTTGATAAATAAATCACCACAACAATTTGAGTCAATCTCAATTGAGAAAACCAAGGCAAGCCAGATCCGCAGCATGTACCTACTCGCTCTGAATTTGCAGCAATATTTCGCTTTACTTTTATATGTGTAATATTTAGTTTTTTGAATGTTAAATAATCTTAAGAAAATAAAACTGAAATATTTTCATAAAGTCGAAATGTAAATTTAATCATTTTTATGACAAGAAAATACAATAATCTCCACCTATAATAAATGATGGCAACGTACTAAGGTGGATAAATGTATATGACATGATTGCAAGAATGAAGGGAAGAGAAGAAAAGGTGCACCATTTCTACATCATCTCGCTCTTCTTTTAAAACAGACAAAAGCACTGGGAAGCCTGTAACCAGGAGAAAAACAATGGCATCATTAGCATATCTTGATTGGGGAACGGAGAAAAGTTTGTCACAATTCAAATTACAATTACATTCTATATGTGGCAAAGAGGAACTCACCCATTGCTCCAAATGCCAACTGGGCAGAACGACTTTCTGCAACAATAGACTGAAGTTCAGCCATGGCAGCACGTCTATCGTCAGCTAAAACGCCATTGCTTATTCGATCCAGCAAACGCTCAACATGTCTTAGAAACATACCACCAAAAGAAAAGAATTTCCAACAAGAAAAGAATCATTAGCATCATCATCCGAGCCTTATCCCACCTATTTGGGGCCAGCTACAAGAATCATGTTCCACCATTCCGCTCTATCAAGGGCCATACTCTCAATCACACAGATTCAATATTAAATGCAAAAAAAAGAAGAAGGAATTCTATATAAAATGCAAATATTTAAAATAATATAACAGTATGTGCTTCATGACAAACGTAAGTGCAACAATTTAGAAGGCCGAGAACAAACAACACCAAAAGTGGAACAAGAGTTTTCAGTTTTCAAGTTAAATTGCAAAACGTGATTCAAAGTAAGTGAAACAAGCTAATCAGGATTTACCCAAAAACAAATTAAAAAAAACTAGCTAATCTGGAACAAGTGATTCAAGTTAAACGCGACCCACTTATACACATGGAATTGCATAGACCTATTGCCATTTCTCAGAAAAATCAGTCATCTGATCCAATTTTCTTTTTCTTTTTCCTTTTTGAGAAATACATATGTCCAAGTTTGTAATGCCAACTTGACACAAAAAATTGATGCTTCACTCACAACCACCTGCCCACACGAGGGCCAAGCTTGCTAAAAGGTGCATCCATCAAGCATACCTCTCTACCAAGTGAGAGGACTACGGTTGAATTGAAAAAAAAAAAAAGGAATTTCCAGCACGATAACAGCATAGAATTCTGCCAATTTTAAAGATGGCAGAGTAGCCCACCTCCCATGCGCCATTGACAATTAACAATATCCAGACTTCAAATGTTGGCATGACATGACTAATTATTCTAGAAACCAACCTAGGAAATTTTTATAGCAGATTGCTTTATTGCCATAGAGCATCTCAATTCTGAGAAGCTCATTCTGGTATGAACAATTGTGATGTTAGTAACATCACAAACCATTGTGCCAACATTGGTAGCCAATGGGAACATAAGAGAGCAAGGCTAAAATCCTTAGAACCCCTTCCTAGGTTTAAAATCTGCCTGAGACTCTCTAAGGGATTGTTGGTACTTGGTGCAGAAGCAAGGAGCCATGTTATTTACGCCTCTTTGAACACCTCAGAGAAGGTAAATTCTTGTACCTCCAATCAATTTTTTTCTTGGATTTTGAGGCCCACAAATGCATTCCTTTCCAAATACAGATACTCACTTCTTGACCATTTGGCACAGTGTCAATCACATTCTTTATGTAATTCTCCAAGTATTTTGTTGCATGTGTTCTCTTTCTCTTGTATAACATGGGCTATTGACCAATAGATGAGTAGTTGCCTAGTTGGTACCGTCTGAACAGAGCTTATGAGGATAGGCCACAGGAATTAAAGTAGGAACCGTATGAACTACAACTCTACCACAGTTTATTGAAGAAATCATGGTTGTCCACTTCTCATGGTTTATCTCACAAGTGATTTACATGCCATTTATGAGTGGAGGGACCATGAGTAAATCCTCCCCATAAGTAATGAATAGCCTATAACATGACATGCGTAACCGAAGCACACAAGCAGCTATCATCTAGTAAGTGGAAATTCAATTGTTTAAAGTTCTTCCAACATGCCTACTGAATAAGCCTTTGTACTAGAGGGTTTCAGACTTGACAAAAGAATATTTCTTGCACTGTTGCACACAATCTTGATCATTATGATGTCAATCAGAATTCATTGTAACCTAGGGGCTGTAAGAATTATTGTCACTCAAGCACAAACCAAGATTAAATTCACAAGGTGCAAAGGCCACAGAGCAGACTATTTACTTATGAAAAACTGCTAAGAACCCCTAGGAGCACTAAACTTGATGCTCGTCCGCTTCAAATACCACTTTTGAGGTGGGATAAATATCTCGAGAAGTTCAATATACAACAAAAGGAATAAATTATACCTATCTTCATCTGCAGTTGATTGATCCTCATTTCCAAAAACAAGTCCACCAACACCCTGCAAAGGCTTTTCCGGTATGTAAGTATCATACCAAATCACTGAAATATGGAATATAAAAAAGTTTGACAGAAAATTTTACCTTACACTGAATCGAGAAGTGGGCAGAAAAGAGGAATTCACAACGGAATATACATTCAAATTTCTCATACAAATTGATGTTTAAAAAAAACATAATAACAACTAAATCAGAAGTCAAAATCACATAAATGAAGAAACAATGTTCTTAAGTAACTACTTGATATCATAATATCATAATTTCCAGAAATTGTACATCTATTTTATTGAGTTAAAATCGGAATCCAAACCAGTTTATATAGGAAACAAGAGGATTTCAATGGCAGGGTCCAAGCCGAAAAAACAAGCTAGAATCTTTGTAACTAAGATAAATCAGAAGAAAAAATTACAAAAAACAATAAACCATACACCGAGCATCAGGAATGTCCTGAACAAAAAGATTTGATCAACAAAAGGCTCATTTAGCAAGCTTACCAGAGGCTTAATTGGTTCTGATATGTAAGGACATTATCATCTTCCCCAAAATATTTTCTTTTTGAGAAAGTTCACTATTATTGTATTATTGAATAATAGAGTATACAAAAAATGAGGTGACCCAGAAAGGGCACACAATACATGGTCCCATAGGGTCCAAAAATGCTTTACAAGAATTACAGAAGCAGGCAAAGAAAAGGGTGGCCTCAAAAGCCTAACGCCCCATTGGAGAATTAGAATAGGCCCCCTCCCTAGCCAATCAATCTGCGTCAGAGTTGTCTTCTCTCAAAGCATGGCACCATGAGATTCTGAAACCATGGGATAAGTGCGAAATCTCGTCGAATACATAGTCTAGACACCACGGCCAAGAGAAGAGATTAGATGCCTATGAGATGACGTTCTTGGAGTCCCCTTCCACCACCAGATCAGAACTCCATGTGTGGTCCAACTTGCCAAGGCCCTCCAAGAGGGCTAGTGCCTCGGCAAGAGTGGTGTCCACCATACCAATAGAGCAGGATTGCGATAACAAGGTACATCCATTACTCAATTGAAAGAGACCACCAATTCCGGATGGTCCTGGGTTCCAAGGGAGAAACCATTGATGTTAAGCTTAATGGATCCTGGTTTTGGTGGTCTCCAAAGTGATGCCCGCGAGATCCTAGGTTAGGCCAGGCACAGCAAATTCTGCCAATTGCTATGGAAATCATTTAAGGAGAAGTCCTTGAAGAGCTTGTGGTTCGTGGCCCAAAAGGACACTAGGTTCCTGATTTTCTCGGCCAGCACCGTGACCGTGGATCTCTCTCCCCTGAAATTTATGTGGTTCCTTCCTATCCATAACACACAGATAATGGCTGAGATAGAGGCTTTCCAAAAGTACTCTCCCTGCCTTGGACCAGGGAGTCTAGAGAAAGCCTGAAACAAATGGAGGATGGATCTAGAAGTGACCTAGGGCCACTCGAAAAGACACAGAAGATTGGTCCATAAGGCTCTAGCAAACTCACAATTGAGGAAAAGATGGGCATTGGACTCTTCAGCCTCCATCCACAAGATGCATCTACTTGAGCATTGCAAACCTCTTCTTTGAAGGTGATCAACAGTCAGCACTCTATCGTGGAGCGCAATCCAGCAAAACACCTGTATCCTAGGTGGTAAGAAGGGAAGCCAAGCTTTGGAGGCTAGACTGAGGGTGGGACAAGCAAGGTAGGGATTCAAGTTGAGGGTCCGAACAAAGGAGGACACTGAGATTAATCCCGATGCTGCTGGAGCCCAAATAATCTTGTTGTCTACAAAGAAAGAGAGGAATACAGAATGAAGTTCAGAAAAACCCCTAAGGTCATCGAGTTCGTGATCATTGAGGGGTCTCCTGAAGTTACGCGTCCAAGATCTATAGGACCCCGAAACACCGAAGTTCTCGACCACAGAGGACTGAGCATCACAGGTTAAGAGGAATAGGTTAGGGAACTAATCCCTGAGAGGTGTGTGACCGATCCAAGTGTCAGTCCAAAACTTCACCCTATTCCCCTCCCGTAGACTAAATTAAATGTGTTGGAGGAAAGTGTCTCGGCAATGAAGTATGGACATCCAGAAGCTAGAGATATGCCCACTGATTCTGCATTCGGGAGTCCAATGGTCATTGCCATAGCAATATTTGTGCTTGATGACCTCCCTCCAAAGGTGGCCTGGTTGGGTTGCATACCTCCACCACCACTTGCCCAAAATGGCAATGTTGTGGTCTCTGAGGTTGCGAATACCCAGGCCCCCCCTGAGATTTAGGTAAACATAGCTTGGACCAAGATATGAGAAGAAACTTGTGTCTGTGATCCCCAGACCCAAGAATTCCCTCATCATTTGCTCCAATCTCGCGGCCACTAAGGCACGGATAAGAAATAAAGACATCTGAACTATGAGAGTGTTGGCTAGGGTGGCCTTGATTAGCGCGAGTCTTCCCACCTTGGATAGGAACCTGCCTTTCCAGCCCACGAATCTCCGATTGTATTTGTTGATTATATGACTCCATTGCGAGAGTCGTGGCATGCCAAGGCAAAGGGGAAGTCCGAGGTACATAAAGGGGAAGTTCTTGACAAAGCAGCCCCATCTATCAGTGAGTAACCGGACTAGAGATGGGTCGGTGCAGACCCCCATCATCTTGGATTTGGCTAGGTTAGCCTTAAGCTAGTAGTCATTTCAATATACTTTAGAAACAGCAGCAATGTATCAACGCGTTGCACAGAGGAGTCGCAGAAGATGAGGGTGTCATCCGCGTATTGCAAGTGCGAGATGAAAGGATATCGATTGCTTGATTGGAATCCTCTCATGAAGCCTGCTTGGTAGAACCTTGAGATTGAGATACTGAAGACCTCAGCCATGATAGCGAACAAGAAAGGCGACAAAGGGTTGCCCTGGTGGAGACCTCTACTAGCCGAGAAGAAGCCTTTAGGGGTCCCATTTATGAGTATTGAGAAGATGGGGTTGGAGAAACACTCTTTGATCCAGTTTCTCCACTTAGGCCCAAAGGCCATCCTTCTAAGGATTGCATCAAGAACTGACCAATCAACATAGTCATAAGCTTTCTCCCAATCTAATTTTATGACAAGTTCCGGGATTTTAGATATGGAGCGAGTGTGGATGCACTCGTGGGTGATTAGAGCCCATCCAAGATCTGGCGGCCTTTGACAAAAGCCCCTTGGGTGGGGGAAATGACTGAATTAAGGCCATGAGGATTTCGACCTCCAGGAATGGTCTTTCCAACTAGGTTACTTTCTCAGGAGAGAGGGTAAGGAAGGCGAGGTCATGCATGATGGGTCTCGCCCTAGAAAAGGAAGAGAAGAGATTAGAGAAGAAGAGTACAAGAACCTGCTTGATGAGGTGGGGTTGGTCAATAACTGAGTCATCGACTTTTAAGTGGGTGATCGAGTTCTCACGTCTTCTACAGTTTGCTATCTTGTGGAAGAACCTTGTGTTCAGATCTCCCAGCTTCAACCATCTGACCTTGGCTCTCTGGGACCACTAGATCTCCTCCTTATAGAGAGTGGAATGATAATCGAATTTGGCCTTGGATCGAAGCTCACGTTCTGCTGGGAGTAGTGGTTTGGACTCCTCCAATTCATCCCACACATGAATGGCTTGGAGCAGGGCTTCCTTTTGTGAGTGGAAGTTCCCTGGGTGTTGGGACTTCCAAGTTTTGAAGGTGGATTTCAGCAGCTGGAGTTTCCTTTGGACCTTGAACCCTGCCCATCCGTGGACCTGAGTTTGGAGGGATTTCCACGATGAAGCCACCGAGTTTCAAAACGAAACGGCTTTGGACCTTGAGAGACAGCTTGGGTGTCTAAGAGTAAAGGGTGATGGTCCGATGTTGGTTTGGGTCAAACAGTGGAGTGGGTGCTTGGGAAGGTGTGGTCCCATTCCAAAGAAATAATAAAACGGTCCAACTTGGAGAGGGAGGGATTGAGGGAATTGTCAGACCAGGTAAACTGAGCCCCTTCCAGAGGGATGCCGATTAGCTGATTCTGGAAGATAAAGTCCAAAAAATGGATCATTGCCGGTGAGATGGATTGATTGGAACTGCGATCATGGGACCATCACGTGACATTGAAGTCCCCCCCCCAAACACCATGTAGCAAGGGCCCTAAAAGCTAAGGCCTACAGTTCTTCCTAGAAGGAAGGCCTCAGGCTATGGGAATTGGGGCCATACAGTGCCAAACATTTCCACGGCAGTCCGTCCAAAAGCCTTGAGAGGATTACCGTGGCTGAGAATTGGCCAATGTTAAAGTCCAAAAGTCATGTAGGGTGGGGTCCCAGGGTATCCAAATCCCACCCGAAGCTCCTAGTGCCCGAACCTACAAGGCCTAAATCCCCAAATACCCCGGACAACAGGGAGGGTGGGGGAGGGAGTTTGGTTTGGATCACAACAAAGAGGAAGGGGGAATACTTGGCACAGATATCTCAAACCGCACACCTTTTTTGCAAGTGGCCCAAGCCACGGATATTCCACATCAAGATCCTCATTGGGTGGGGTGGGATTGGTCGGTGCGCCTCGTAAGGCGCCTTGAATAGAGCCTAGCCAAAGGGCCCAGGTCGTTAGGTGAAGATTATGGGGGACCCGATGGTTAAACTTTGTCATATAGTTTAGCCCAAAAGGCAAGAGGTTAGACGGTTCTCTTTGGCCCTTTATCTTGGCTATGAAGGGGGATTTGGTATCAACAGTGATGAAGTCTTCCAAAACCTCCTTGGGGCCATTGAATTTGAAGCCCATTACCCTCAGGGCTTCGTGAGTGTTGCCTTGAGAACAGTCTACGTCGTAGACAAATGTGGAGTCGATAGAGGTCACCGACTCTGTTTGGAAGCTATCAAGCGAGATCCGGGATGAAGTTGGGGATGCAAGAGGCATGGCAGTGTTGGAGTTGATGAAGGGTGGGGAGGTGAGCCCAAGAGATGACGAGGATCCACCTAGGGGAGAAGGGGGGAAAAGAGACTGGAGGGGCAGCCAGCGAGGTTGAGCGGGATAGAAA